GATGAATATATACAAAAAAAAAAAAAAATAAAAACGTACGGACACTCGTATCGTTAATTGCGCGCAGGTTCCACAGTCTTTCAGAAGCTAATAAATGACGGAGGGCAAAAAGGGCAGCGGGGAGAAAAAATTCAAAAAGAAAATATAAAAAAAAAATACAAGATGGACTACCGGCAATCGCTCAATGCCATCAACTTTCGCGGAATATAATATATTGCACCCTGCAATATTTATGCAGTTTGGTGAGATCGCGTGTCTCACGGTGGAAATGTTGCCAATTGCATTACGCGTTTCAGAGTAATGAGGATAATTGTAAAGGACATTTATATATTGGTATCGATAGGTATTCGCTTGACTATTAATACTATAATTTATATGCATTGGCATATGCAAAATAATATCCAGCACTTCCTGCGAGTTATTCTTGTATCGACTTTTCTCTATATTTTGTTATACGATGACTTTACGACATATGTCAAGGAATAGGCGTAAGCTGCTCTTAATTTAGTATTGTATTATACATATGAAGTGAATTGAACAAATAAGAAAATATTTACGTTTTATAATTATTACGGATGTACTATAAAAAAGAGGCAGTTACTAACTGCTGAAAAGTTCCATAAAATTGAGTTAAATTCATGGGGTATAAAAGCCATAGAAGTGCAATAAACATGAGTTGTATTCAGCTGTAGGATAAAACGGTGAATGATTCAAAGAGCAGAAATAATATGACGTACAAGTATTTCGAGAAAAGGGAGAAAATATGTTTCAAGAGCCGTTTTTCGCAGGTATATATATATATATATATATACACACGCATATATACACACGTATATAGGCCTGCGAGAAGTTCATGAATTTTGATGAACATCCCTCTTGTAAATACTCACCCCCGGTGCTTCGATGACCTCGATGAATTTCCCGATAAATTTCGTGAATCGTGAAACCATCAGTCACACAGGGGTTGGCAGACACCTGCCACAAAAGCGGATGTGTAACCACGTGGAGGGGCTGATAATTAATACAATAATATTAATAACCTATAGCTGGAAAATTATACAAGGTCCACCATTGCGATCAAAGTCATTATTCACTTGTTCATTTATACGTGGCACCAACTGCAAACACTTAACCCTCAAATCTGCAGTCTAGTGTCACATCTTCCCACGAGACCCACTCGCTCGTTATAACTTTCTCTCTCGACCACTAAATAGCAAAACAATAAATCTGCAAGAGACACACAGGACCGCACAAAGCCCTCTGGCGTATACGGTTGGGGCTCTTATAGGGGGACGATGACGTCGAGAGAGGGTGGCCTAATATGTCACAGTCTGTTGCAGTGATCTCGAGCGAAAGGACCCGAACCCCATAGAGCAGAGACTCCTTTAGGGGTGGCTTATGGGATATTTGCTCCTAATGGAGTGATTCAATAGCGATGATCTGATAAACCGTAAATGCGTGCCCACCCACGCCACTTCACTTTAGTTGTTCCTCCAGTAATACCAAGTAATACCGTCAACAACTAGCGCTATCTAGCGGGAGAAAAACGAGTTAAACGTCGCAGGTCAATCTCCATCTATGTCTCCGGCAGAGTACTTCGTTGTACCTTTGCGAGGAATTAGTCAATTTTGCTTTCGCTTGTTTTACACCGTGAGCCAGGCTTTAATATTTACGTGTGTACGGTTTTACAGTACAGGCTAGAATCGATAAGTAAATGCAGTTTGAAACTCACTTTAGCAATACTTCTCTTTGATTTACTTTTATGGTACGTTCAAATTCATTATATCTGTCAATGTGTTTCACCCGTTACTCGGTATGATGTATGAAACAAGAAACCTATGTACGTACATGTAGAACGAATCAGCCAACGTGCAGAGAATGAAGCTATCGACCCAGCAAACCGTATAAGAAGCGCACGAGACAAGTTGTAGAAAGTCAAGGAGATGAAACGATAGTGTAGTCAGGCTAGTGGTCTGGCAAACCTGTACAAGTGTTCTACAAGATAACCTAAAAAGAAGAAAAGTTTTCTATAATTCCAATAAATTATACAACCGTCCAACAGTCTTACCAAGATGCATTTGTTTGAGGAGTATGAATTTGTTGTTCTTTTTTAATCTTTGAGAATTCAAACAAAAACGTACTTACCAGCCACCAAGTGTTTGCACAGGATCGTCCGGGAATCTGAAGGCACAGAGTCCTGCCTATCGCTCTCGTTGATTTAGTGGCAGTTTGCGGCAACAAACGCCGCCATTCGTAACACTCGGCTAGAGTCAGGACGTGTCATTATGGCTTCGCATGGAAATTTTGCAGCGCGCTGCCGTTATGCTCATCTCGGCAAATTGCTTTGCTCACTTACTTAACCTGAAACGTCGGGGCACGCGCGGACCTTACTTGCCTTACGTTACACGGATATACATATATGTAGCACTTAATGCTCATTGTAGTGTGATGCATTTAGTATATATTACAACGTGAGCATATACTAGTATTCTTTTGCATTTTGTAAAACGTACCGAGCAACGAACTGCCACGTTGACGAATGGGTTCTGACGGTACCGTTAAAACCGGCAAATTTGAATAATGAACCTTTTGTCACTGCTTAAATTCAAATCGTGCAGTTTTAACGAGCACGAGTATTATTGCTCTGAAGACGACGCGTCAATGGCCGGCTCTGCAAACATGATAAATAAATAATGCAGTAATGGCAGCTGAAACTTGTTTGTATGTGTGCGTGATTACTCCGCGTAGAAGGCCTAGGGGATTAATATTCGCAACTTCTTTTTTTCTTTATCGTGTACAAGCAATATTGCCTCCTGCGTGCTGATCAGGAACATACTCGTTTGTTTTCATATTTTTTAATCTTATTTGCTCATTTTTTTCTTCAATACCGATAACACGAGCATCGAGTAATTGCAATTGTGCGAAGAATCGCTGACGAGCTGAGAATCTTTTGGTAATAGGAAAATGGCTGCATCGCGTGCCGAACTCGCATCGCGTTTGCTCTAGCATTCTCTATCGAATTCCTGTTTTCGTGTTTATTCGTTATGTGTCATATTCTAGGGACATTTCGCGTGTTTGGTAATCTGGGGATTTTATAATTACTTAAATCCTGATCAAGCTCGTACAACTAGAATCTAGCGAGTTCCAAGGGGCCGGTTCCTCTTTTTTTAGGGGTCCTCTCTCTAAGGGTTGCGTGAATAAGTCCCTTATGTAAAACCATACTCTGAGTGTCGGTAAAACAGAGAATAGAATATCGTGGGTGGTCCTGTCGATACATATGAATATTTTTTCGTTTTTGATGGTTCGTAAAAGTTACGTCGCAGCATACAGGGAGACAAAAGACAGTATATCAAGGCATCCCAGTCCGGGATCGGAAGGTTAATGCGTGAGGTATAAAGTGTGGTCCGTCGTGGCAGATGTTGCGTGACGACCTGACGGAATTACGACACAGAGATGGCGATCGAGTCTTTCATTTAAATACCAACACCCGTGTGCGCCCTTTTCGATGTTACGTCCTCCTTAATTTATCTCGTTGTAATTACCACGTCTTTGGCAATGTTCATCTTGTATTGATTTACATATCAATTTTCACGGGAATTAATTGAAAGGATGTTCGCTAATCGGTAATTTCATCGAAAATGACTCTCATAGTCACTATACATATATGGACTCTGCAAAGAGACCATTTTTACAATCCTTAACTGTAATTGTTAAAAAAAAATTATTTTCTTATTTTTCTTGACTGAATTCACTAGTTTTTGTGCAGTGACGAGAAAAAATTTTTATTACAACTCGCCGTCATAAAACATATGACCTACTAGGAATATCGTGTCTGCCATGTTTGCCGTGTTCCAAGAAAACCCAATATAGTTGACTCTTGCGAGAATTCATCCTGTTCCATGCAACTAACAAGAACGGAGGACTAAACACACGTAGTATCCCTGAGAACTAGTTCGTTAATAAATTGAAGGGCTTCGCTGCTACCACCACAAGGGCAATAAAGGACCGCCGGAAGGCAACTCCGTCTATATGCTAATGCGGAGCTTCTGATATACACTTTATTCTCAGAGACTTTGGAATATTTTACATTATCCGTAAGAGCGAAGTCGGCCTACCGTTTTGGAAATTTCGAAAAAAAAAAAGAATGACCAGGGAAAAAATAATTGTCAAAGGGCGAACAGCGTGTAGTAGTGTTTTTTTTTTATTTTGACCTCAGTAGTTTCTGGTCACTAAGGACGATTGATGAAACACTCGTCTGCTAATTGACCGAAGGATTTTATGCTGCACTAAATTACTCGATGCAAATGCACCGCTTCCGTCCCTCGGAGCTCGTAGCTATTTCCACGGAGGGAGGGCCCGCGCCACGCTTCTTTCCTCCTCGAGATTTACTGCACTTTCATTACCTTAATGAAGACGTGACGCTGAAAAATGGTCAGGTATTTTTGGGAAAAACAAAAAGTAGCAACAGTAATAACGCTGGTGGGAATATCATGTTACTTCATTATTTGGAATTACCATCTCGATAGTGTGTTGTTCAAAAAATCTCGAAAAATTTTAATTTTTTTTTTTATATTTTTCAGTTTTAAATTTCATATCATAGACATAGTTTTCTTGGGTTTTGCAATTAATTATTTAATTATTTGGCCGGTCGGAGAATATTAATGATATGTTAAGAGAATTTATTTAGATAAAGGGATGGTACCGTTATACATACGAAAGATCAGCATACAAGGGTGGCGGGTAACAGCGTTAACTGGCCAGGAGTTATAGCCAGACTGTTAATGCCCGCTTAATATTCAACGCTGGCAACGTGACAGATTTACGAGTGCTAATGAATTGGCACTCTTGTCTCTCTCGGTATTCTCGGCCTTTCCTACCATCTTCTTCGCACTTTATTCCTAAGCCGCACTCGAATAAGCTGGGACCAGTTGGTCATTGTTCCATCGGTTGCCTTTTTTGTATCATTCATTTTCCTTATTTCGCAAAAAAGAATGACCATGGACTATCTGCTATGCAGTACCAGGAATGACTGGGAACTCGACAATTTACTCCGTACAAGAAATAAAAACGTAACTGGCTCCCTGTTGGCCTCAGGCCACCGAAGACGCCACGGCAATAGGTTTAGGTTACCCATCTTGCTGCAAGAGGGCACCACGAAAAATAGTAGTGTGCTCTCACGATGGATTTAATTAAAAACCATAATTTAGAAGGGGATATATCAGGTAGCCACAGCGTTCTCTCGGCCGAAAACTAACGGGGACTTTTGGGACCAAGAGCTTGGGTCGCCGGTTAGATCATGGTGATGGCGCGTGATGACGGTGCCCCGTTTTATCAGGCCCTGAAGTCACTCATGAATAAGATCATTAAAACTCATGGTCCTAAGAAAATATTAGTCCATATAAAATTACGTAAATCGCACTTGATACCCGATACCAAGTTATGTACCGAGGTACCCTGGTACCCGCACGGAGATAACAGCTACAATGACACGTGAGTTGTTCCCTGAAATTCTTACTTGTGTAAGTGAAACAAAAAAAAAACGTATTTAAGTTTTCAACATCGTATATCGTACCTGGTATAGGATGCATAGCCTGACAAGGACTATTAGTTTTGTAACAGACTGTATTTTCATTATCACACTTCATCATTATCGGCACCTCGTAGTCACCCTAGATTCGTCTACCCTTATACGAAGATGTTTCCTTTGTTCAGAAATGTTCCTTAGGGTGCGCGTCGGACCTCGAAGAGTTCAGGACACGCGATATGCCATTCTGCAAGGAAGCATCCCTCGAGGGCCAGCTGTAGAATATTGCGTAAAGTCTCTTAAATGGCAGGTGCAACGATGCACACGGTGAGTCCAATAGGGTTTTTACTCGGAAGCAGAAAATAATTGCCAACTGCTCGATCGTACGCGCTATCAATCTGGTGCGAGTTGACAGGGTCTCGCGAAAGTCGCATTAGTGCCATCCTAAGAAATGACATCGAATCAGTATGTTAATACAGGGTAGCGGGCTTTGCCGTGTAAATAATTAAAGAATTAAGTAGATGGCTGGAAAAATATATGTATATAGCGTCAAAGTGCGTGGTGTATTTCGCCGCCATTTGACACAGTCGTCAGCTGCGGTTTGCCGCAAGGTGGTGGTGGCGGTGGTTGGTACCCCTTCCGTTTACCAGAACGCCTTTCGCACCCTCCCTGTCCATTCGTTCGTCAGTCTGTCAGTGGCTGTCAACTATCCTTACGAAAAACCACCACGTACAACCCCCCTCCTGGCAGCTGTCACGCTTGGGCGACCGGTCGTAAATGTACACAAAAGCTTTTGGCCTATCAACAACCTGACGACGACTTCAGGACCCTGGACTATTTAATATCGGTGGGCAAAGGAAGTGTCTTTCGAGGCTTGAAAATTCCTGGAAAATACTCCATCGGACCTCCGGGGCCTTAGTCAGAATTTTAATTTATGCGTGGCACATAACCTTGCCTGTTATTAGTCCTAGCTGGGTCTGGATGGGCGTGACGTCACGCGGCTAAAACAAAGGATCGAACCCGTGCCCATATTCCCAACACTATACGGTGACTCCTTTCAAGCCTGCCGACACGAGAGTAAAGTGTAGAACTGGACCACTTCGGCTACCGAGTGATCTTTAAAGTTACTCCGTTAAACTCAAGGCCCAAAATCCACCCTGGGTCTAGGATAGATTTTCCAACCGTATAATTTCACAAGGTTTCATTCTCATTCGATTTTCATTCAGTTTCTGTACTTCAAAGTCGATGTCTGATTATCGAGTTCTTCGTCAAGGATGATGTATGGTCGCGCAAAAGATCAGCGTACAAGGGTGGGTACGCCGTAGCCCATCGAGAAGTCTAGGGGTCAGGATAATTGAGGGTTGTGGTTCTGGCAGTAGGTAAAGAAGCCTATAGGTTGTTAAGCAGAGTGCGATCGGCGACTTTAAGGCGCCTTCGCTCGTGCCGCGGTAACGAGTGATTTTCCTTGAGTGCGAAATAATTATAGAGTACCCACTCTTCTGTCTCTATTGCTCGTTCATGGCTTCACTCTCTATCGCCGTCCTTCTCTCACCTATAATCTCATTAGAGATGGTCAGATCGCATCGACTGAAGTCACGTAGTTTAGCGCTTACGGAGAGGGTATGTATGGATGTATGTATGTACCGGGCTTTAGGTGGCTGCTTCGAGTCTATAAGCTTGCGAGGAGCTAATTGGAAGAGATGTCCCTGTCTCCGGAGGGTTCGTCCTATTGTTCGACCGGATCAATACCTAGCCTAGGTATAACCTGCAACCGGCGAGCTTGAAGAGGGCGTGGCTCGTACACCGGAGAAATACGCTCCCCTCGTTGCCTTTCAACCCCTGGCGCACCCACGCTTGGTACTCTGGGGTGCCTTTCGCTTTCCCGGTTTGCTTCCGTTCCTTAGGGTGTTAGCTTGTTTTAGGTATGACCCAATAGGCACGAGAGTGGGGGAGGGTAGCTGCAGAGTGTCAGTGGAGGCTATAGGTTAGGTTTGCTTCTTGTTATTCATATTTTGACGTGTAAGTTGACTGGATTTCTCGTTTTCGGTTCTTTGTCGGGTTATCTTCGAAGTGGCGCTGTATGAGTCTCCGAGGTCCTCGGGTGTTGGAGCAGGTTGCAGGACCTCAGTGGGGGCGTGTCGCCTCGATGGCGCCGGCTGCTAATGGCCGCGGGCCGCCAGACTTTAATTTCCTGCTGCTTCCGCGGACCCTTTGCTTTACCTTTCCGTCCGAATCGGCTCGTCGGCCCTCTGGACCCTTCCAGCCTCCCGAGGCGCCTGCCTTTCGGTAGCCGCTGACAGAGAGTCCGGAGTCCCCCGAGCATGATTTGCATGAAACTGCCCCTGATGAGCTCGCTCGATTCGCCCCGGGCCTCATTACGTCTGGGGACCTTGAACCGCTACCATCAACCCCCATTACTACCACTACAAGTGCAGCGCTATTAAGAGCATTATACGTGTAACAGCATGGAGTCGTTCCTAACTTAATGTTACGTTTATCTTATAGCTTTGAGGTGAATGCAAAGAGAAAGCGTAGTATGGCATATGACTGTGTCTCTAATAGCACCACTTTCATTTTGCATGTTTCAGGATCATCCTGGTCTAAGAGGCACGCCACTGGCCATGTTGGCTGCGCAATGCAACAAACTGAGCAGCAAGAGTCCACCGCCGCTGGCCGACGCGGCCGTGGGCAAGGGTTTTCATCCTTGGAAGAAGAGCCCCCAGAGCAGCGGTAGCTCACCCCAGCACAGTACAGGGAGTGGCGGCGGTGGCTGCACGACGACGGGAGTGACGCAAAGACCGACGGCGACTAGCAGCGCCGGAAGTACTGGAGGTGGCTACGCCAGGGCGCCGGTAACCTCATGTGCCTCTACAGCGCCGCAGTACGGTAGCGATCTGTACTTTCCCGGGACAGCTAGTGCTCAACCAGCTGGTGATCCCCATCATCCCCATCAGAGCAGTATTCTTGGGAAGGTCGAGGGCGCAGCAAGTCTTGGTTCCGTATACGGGAGACATCCATACGAGTCGTGGCCTTTCAATGCGATGCCAGGAGCCGCGCACGGCGGCATCAAGGCCAGCGATGGCTGGTGGGATGTTCACGGTGCCGCCACGGCGGGGGGATGGCTCGACGTGAGCGGTACCGTCGGCGTTGGTGTTCACGCCGCTCAAATGGCGAACTACTCCGCCGCCGCCGCCGATTATTCCACGAGTCTCGCTCTCGCTGGTAACCACCTGCTAACCTCGACGACTGCCGGGCATAATCTCCTGCAAGACACGTACAAGTCTATGTTGCCCGGCGGGCCGCCCGGTTTCGGGCTTCATCATCACGCTAGCTCCGCTGGCGGTGGAGCTGGCAGCCCCCAGGCCGGGGGTGCCGTCGGTGGTGTCGTCGCGGGCCAGGCGCCCTCGCCCAGGTCACAGAGACGATACACGGGCAGGGCGACCTGCGACTGCCCGAATTGCCAAGAGGCCGAGAGATTGGGTCCCGCGGGAGTCCATCTCAGGAAGAAGAACATCCACAGCTGCCACATACCCGGCTGCGGCAAGGTGTACGGGAAGACGTCTCATCTGAAGGCCCACTTGCGGTGGCACACTGGTGAGCGACCGTTTGTTTGCAACTGGCTTTTCTGTGGCAAGCGGTTCACACGTTCGGATGAGTTGCAGCGGCACCTTCGAACCCACACCGGCGAAAAGAGATTCGCCTGCCCGGTCTGCAACAAGCGGTTCATGCGCAGCGACCATCTCGCGAAGCACGTCAAGACGCACAGCAGCAGCAGCAGCACCACCAGCACAGGCAGCAAAGGCAAGGGAGCAGCGAGCTCCTCGGCCGAGTCCTGCTCAGACAGCGAGGACAACGCGAGCCAGCAGAGTCCCACTTCCAGCTCGTCCTCGGCGGCGGCGGCGGCGGCAGCGGCAACGGCGGCAGCCTCACTTCCACCTCATCCTCAGGCGCCACAGCCAACCCCACACCATCACCTTCACAACCATCACAACCACCACCACCATCACCATCATCATCATCAACCTCAATCACAAACAACCCACGACTCCAGCACCAACAACAGCACCACCACCAACACCAGCCACAATCCCAACAATCACAATCCCAACAACAACACCAACACCACCAACAACACCTCCACCAACACCAACAACACGGGCAATCCCTCCCAGAACAGTCAACCCCCGGCAACTCCCATGACCCCGATGCAGATGACTCCTCCGCCCCTGACGCCCTCACACCATCCCCATCACCCACATCTCCCTCCTCTAATGCACCATCCTCATCATCACGCAACCTCCGTCCCGGCGCACCATCATCCTCACGCAGGGATGAGTATGCACTGAGTTCAGTGGGACCCGGAGCCGCAGCAGCGGCGGCCGTGGTCGCCGCGGCCG